GCAGGGATTCAGAAAGCTGTTTTTGTTTTCTCTTTTTCTAGCCAATTCAATATATTTTTAAAATCTTCTATGAGTTTTTTTAAATTATTCATAAATGAAAAAGGATTGCCATTTTGTAGCTGTAGAAGTTTTGCTTCTATAATAAAACCTTTAATACAATTATTGAGGGGGGGACTTGCCATGTTGGTGGATGATAGGCAATAATTTCCAAACAGAATTCCCTGAAGGACATTTCTGTAAAAACAAAGCATTGAAATTTAAAGAGAAGCTTTGCACAAAATCTCTTGACTTGTCAGCTTGACTGAGATGTATTGGGATTAACCCTCCTATGTTAGAAAATTTCAGATCAATTCAAACAATAAGCAAAAGACAAAGAATAGTTGTTTGATCTTCCAAACTCATTCCTAAGACAAACCAAATGAGGAAATTGTGGTGCTCAGGGGCCAAAATGTAAGAGTAAACATAAAGTATGACCCTTTATTAAGATTAAAGGGGTGGCTGGAAATTAGAGCTGGGCATGAGTCCTCTTTGATGAGCCCTTGATTTTATTTCAGGTGCCCTCCATAGGCAAACAGTTGAGACCTTTAGTAGGATGATTTTAGTCTTCTGGATATGGGAGGCCAGGAAACAGTGAGAAACAGAGAAGCACAGAGAAGTAACAAAAAGAGGCAGTGAATAAGAAGATGGCAGAAAACAAATATGTATATCATATTTGTTTGGTTTTGTCCAGCTTGTTATTTGTGTAGTATATCTTTTTTTAGATTTCTATCCCACATTTTTTTCATATACAACTCAAGCTGACAAATATACATAACACACTTTCCTCCTCCTATTCTCCCCACAATAACAATCTTGTGGGGTGACCTGGACTGAAAGAAAAGTGACTGGCCTAAAGTCACCCAGCCAGCTTTCATGCTTAAGTCAGGACCAGACATATGCCCCACAGACATCCTTACCCACCCGCTACATTTGGGTCTCTACGGGTGGTTCAGAAAGGAACGTAACCATCCCAAATAAAAATGTGACCTATTCCATGTTTAAAAGGCAAAGTGAAGACAGAGTACTGCTGAATTAGACTATACACTCTTCTAGTCCAGCGTTTTGTTCTCCTTTCCACAAATATGTTCGGGCAAGTCTTGGAAAAAGCACAAGCAGGACCTATGGCCTGATGCTGGAGATAATGCACTAGATCGAGTCTTTGACAACCTGATATTTCACAGGCTATGGACTCAAGGACTGTGTTCATTCATTATCCAGGTTAATGCAGTGAATGCAGCCAATGAGTTTGCTTGTGTTAGAAGTCAAGTCTTCATCCTGGTTCATCCAAGCCGCGAATAAATAAGCAAACATGGCGACTGCTTTGGGAAGAAGGTTACAGTTTATTGCAGAAAGATGGTTCTTCAGGAAAGTGCAGAGGAGAGAAGGAGAAGAGGAAAGATTGAGCACATGGGCAATAGGTTTTATACCCCCCCCCCCAGCCTTTTGTTTGGAATAGTTTCCTGTTCCTGTGGCATGAACCTTGAGGCTGTTTCTGAGTGTTTGTCTAGGCCTTGATATCTGTGGTTTAATTCTATTATCATATCCTGCTTCCCAGGTGATGGGGCTAATGACTCCTAGAGTTTGGGTGGGGTATGCAGATCTTCTCTTTTGTCTTCTTGATTGCTCTGGCTCCAACTTTCTGATGGTTTTACATTTGCAGTTGTATGGGCCTAGCTCTTGCTTGGGGCAGAGAGATAGATTTGGGGCCAGGTTTGGTTTTAAAAAGTCCTTTTGAGGAAAAATATATTTTTCTGCCCTTTTTAATTTCTTCTCTGGGCTAACTTTCATCAATCCCCGCTTTGTGCCTTAAGTGTGAATTTATGACACACTTATTGGCACAACATTAAAATTGATCTGGTCAGGGAGACTTGGTAGGCAAGCTTTTAAACTGTTATGTTAAGCAAAATAATAATAATAATAAGACATTAATGGAGGCAGCAGAAAAAGATCCCTTTAGTGGCTCCCAAAAGGGGAGCTTGCACCCATAAAGTTCTAAAAGTCAGGGCAAAATTTTGTTACGTGGAAAAGAAATTTATAGTATCCAATATTCTGTGCCAATCATTTTCAAATGTTGGATATCATCTTTAGCTTCCAGTCAGGTTTGCATACCTCCCAAAATTCTTCACAGCCATGGTTTTCCTTAGTACATGGTTGCCCGTTTTCAGGGGTTGTTTCCTGCCTTAGCTCTTAATTCAGTGCATCCAGGTTTGTAATGTCCAATATGCCAGGCTATTAAATTTTTCTTTAAATTGCACATACTGAGCTCTAGGAATCCCAATCTGAGCCCAACAGTGCAAGATATTCAGGGCTGAAGTTTGGGATTTTTCCTGTTGCTTCCTTAGTCAGGGCATATGAATTGCAAATTACCTGAGGGGGCTTGGTTCCCTCCCCCTTGGAATCTGTTGGAAGTTGGTCCCACAAAGCTTTGGTGCAATAGAGCAAAAATCAGCCTGAGGAACTTTAATAAAGGTAGGTGGAGGGGATAGACTCTGAATGGTGTGAATGGTGTATGTTTCTACAAAACAGGCAATACAAACATTCTGGAAAAGTTTTCCCTCCCACTAGATAGAAGTCCAAGGTGTTCAGTACTTGTTCTACCACCTATTCCTAAATGCCATCTCTCCATTAATACATTCAACTGGCTTGTTACAATACAAATGGGGCAAGAAAGAAAAGTTTACAATGAGTTTCCACCCTCCCCCCACAGTCTAATTTTCTCTTCTGAGGCTTCACATGACACCACCTTCCTTCTGCAGCTCTCACAGGCATCTGGGTAAATGGTAGGACTTGGGAAGATGTTCCACTCAGATTACATGGTGGGTTTTTAGTGGATGGCTGGATTCAAAACCCAATTCCATGGCTCAAATGGATGGAGGCAGCATCTGGGTCTGTGTGTTCTGCTTCCAAAGGTTTGGGAGAGGATTGCAGGGCTGAAAGATACAAGAACAAGGTCTCCCCCCCCCTTTCTGGGTGGACTCTCCCAGGAGAGGCAGACAAAGGGCAGGAAAAAAAATTGGAAGGGGGGTATCTTGCAGGCATTTTGAAAATGCTGAAAACTCCAAATAATTTTAAAAGCCTACTATTTTAATATGTGCAACTTGCCAAGGGCAGGAGAATCTGCCTTTAACATTTATTCTAAAATAGATAACATTATTTTAGAGATTGGAAAATGCTTATGTTTCAGAAAGCTTCATAGTAGTTTCACCAGTAAGTGATAGGATAAGAAAAGTAACTTTAAAAAATTATTTCCCCACACAAGCAGACTTGAGTTTCAAAAGGCTCTCGTAGATAGACACACATTTTTCAGGAAAAGGATAGATAAAACACATACAGTAAATGCAAGTGAAACTTTTCCAACAGATAAACTTAAAACAATCCCTCCTGGTAACTTAAGGCTGTTCTTGAGAATACTCAGAAAGAAAGAGGAAAACAAACAAAAAACAAACACAATTTTTTTTTCTTCACTCTGTTTGTTGGCCAGACCAACAGAGTGAGGTTTTTCCTTTTTGTGGCTTATTTTAAGCAGAATTTCTAGCAGAATTTAAAATTCTTTTTCCTCTGGATTTGAAACAGTTAACAGTCACATTTACCTCTCACACAGAGACTTTGACAAACTTATATACACAAAGACAAGAGAACAGAAGTCTTAGTTTTACACATCCTAGTCATTCCCACCATAAATTTCAGATAACTCAAGTTAGGGAAGGCACACATTTTAAACATACCATGTGGTTGCATAGAGAAGAGAGAGAGAATCACTATTTCTTATTTTCCCTTTTAAGTACCTTTATTTAGCCAAATTGGTTTCCCAGCAAAGCCCTAAGCAAAGTCTATTTTTTTCTATACACTACACAGTCAAAGTCTCCTTGTGAGACTTCTTCCTAACCAGTCTCCTTGTGAGACTTCTTTCCTAACAGTCGAAGTCTCCTTGTGAGACTTCTTTCCTAACAGTCGTCGAAGTCTCCTTGTGAGACTTCTTTCCTAACAGTCGAAGTCTCCTTGTGAGACTTCTTTCCTAATACAGTCGAAGTCTCCTTGTGAGACTTCTTTCCTAACTTTGCTTTGCTTACAGGGCCTTACCAGCTAGTTGCCCAAATCCAATTCTTTCATTCACTCATTCCATTTCATTTTCACACAGTCTCTCCCTTTTCCCTAACAAAAGGTTCTGTGCTCTGGCCAACCCCCATGCTTTCCAGGTTCTGCCAATTAAACAGATCCTTTCTGCGGCTAGGAAAGACCAGAAGCAGCAAAATCCAACTGTGATTGGGAAAAAAAAAGTCTTCTCACTCACCCAAACAGAAATACACACATTTTCTTTGTTCCCCTGGGCTTTAAACTTAAAATTTAGAGGTACTCACCTTCACCTTCTTTCCAAAGCAGCCCTTGAGCTCAAACTCTCAAAACTCCCTTTACTACCCTAGCTCCACATGGGCAAGGCCTGGGAAACCCATCCACAGACACAAGGGGGGTCTGCTGCCGGCAAGATGGGGCTTACCAGTCTCAGTCCATTGGAGAGGTTAGCTTGGAGTCCCATCTGGGGTGCCAAATTGTTAGAAGTCAAGTCTTCATCCTGGTTCATCCAAGCCGGGAATAAATAAGCAAACATGGCGGCTGCTTTGGGAAGAAGGTTACAGTTTATTGCAGAAAGATGGTTCTTCAGGAAAGTGCAGAGGAGAGAAGAAGAGCAGAGCGAGATTGAGCACATGGGCAGTAGGTTTTATACCCCCCCTAGCCTTTTGTTTGGAAGTTTCCTGTTCCTGTGGCATGAACCTTGAGGCTGTTTCTGAGTGTTTGTCTAGGCCTTGATATCTGTGGTTTAATTCTATTATCATATCCTGCTTCCCAAGTGATGGGGCTGACTCCTAGAGTTTGGGTGGGGTATGCAGATCTTCTCTTTTGTCTTCTTGATTGCTCTGGCTTCAACTTTCTGATGGTTTTACATTTGCATTTGTATGGGCCTAACTCTTGCTTGGGGCACAGAGATAGATTTGGGGCCAGGTTTGGTTTTAAAAAGTCCTTTTGAGGAAAAATATATTTTTCTGCCCTTTTTAATATTTCTTCTCTGGGCTAACTTTCATCACTTGTATTGATCCATGACTAACCAAGTTCTAAGTTCACATGACCAATAAATTAAAAAAGCCTCAGTCAAGATAAAAGTAAAATTTAGCATGTTGCAGCTGTACAGGTGCTAGATATAGAAGTGAGCTTCTCAAACCAATTGTGTCAATACATTGTTGGTAACAAGAGTAATTAGTGACAAGAGATAGGGAGGGGCGAGGCTGGCCCTCTTCTGTTGTTCTTTTGTCACTATTACCTGTAAAGGAAAAGTGAGCAAAAATTGCTCACATATGAGAGCTTGGCATTCCTCTAGTACTCTAGTAGTAGCTTTGGATGGATGCCCACAATTTAAGCCTCAGAAATGTCCTACATGGAAGGTTTTACAAATCTATCAAAGCTTGGGTTGAAAGCTCTGTTGGCTTTTTCACACTATGCTTGCTTGGGCCTCAGGAGAAGATTGAAATCCTGTTATTGTCCCTAAAGCTCTATCATTCTTCACATGCTCAGAAGCACCCTTTTCCTGTCGTTTTACACCTGATCTTGATGCAGCTGGAAAATGGGTGCTAGCAAATACTTGGTTTCTCTCCACTCTTCTCTTTCACGGCACCCGATTACTCCCACCATCTCCTCCCCGCGCCACCCCCACCTCCCAATTCCGTTTCCATCCCTCCAGGCGCTTGGTGTCGATAGGAGAAGAGCGAGCAAGAGACCCCGGGGGAGAGAAATGGAGGCGGACTGCCAAGGGATGTTTTCAGGGCTGGGACTAGGTGCCCCCCTCCCCTTCCCTTGGCTTCGTCAGACCCAGAAGGAAACGAATCTCGTGCCACCGAGCCGGACTGGCTGTGATCGCCCCTCGCGAGTTGAAGCAGCTGGGGAGGCGGCGCGGTGCGGCTCGGCCAAAGAGAAGGCGGCGACCCTGGGCGGGCCGTCGCCGCCCCTCCTTCTCCTTCACCCACCACCGCCACTGCCGCCGACCTGACGGTGTTGCCATCACTGCAGCGGGGGGGGGGGCTGCCATTGCCATCGCTTCTTCATTCTCCGTTCCTCGCTTTCTGCAGCTCTCGGGTCGCGTCGCCGTTCAGCTACCCAGGCAGCTGCAGGCGGGCGAGAGGACGATGCGGGCGGTCCTTGCCCTGCTCGCTCTAATCGCCAGCCTGCTCCTCTTCTTGTGCTTGGCGCGGCTCCCGGCCGACGGCGCCGGGGGCGCAAGGTAGGCGGAGGAGACCCGGAGCTTCCACTGGGGAGGCGTGGCTTAGGAAAGGGAAACAGAGTTCGGGGGGGGGGCACCAATGGCAAATGGGGGAGCCGATACCCCGGACCCGGTGCACGTAGGTCACGGTCCCGCGGGGACTGCAAGAAGAATTAGCCGTTGAATAAGCGCGCGTTGTGGCTCTTGCTGACCGCTCCTCTCGCTGGACCCTCTAGACAACTTTGGTCTCTCTTGCTTGCTTGCTTGCTAGTGGCTGGGAGCAGGAGGGCAGAGCTGCAACGGACTTCACCCCCAAAATGATGAGGTACCTCCGGTCCCCCGCGCATGTCCACCTGGCTGCTCCGTTGGTCCCCAACAGGTAAAGACGGTGAGGGGGTTGCTCTGTTGGGAATGCATCTCTGCGTTAGCTTGGACCAGAAGGGATCGCTGCTAACTAACATCGCCTGTGCTGAGAATGCAGAGCATCTCAAAAGCTCTCAGGAGCTTGTCACTTTGGGTTGGGCAGTAATGTAAAGAATTATTCCACAGGAAGCTAAGATGCCCCCCTCAGTCCTCTTCTAAATGGCTGATCCAATTATTTCCTAAAGTTCAGTTGTCTATTAGTGCAATAATCTTTCATTTCATTGATAGTTGGGCAAATGTGTCTGATGCTCTACTTACAGTACTTTTAAAACTTTGTGCATGAGAGTCTATATCCTGTATATATAATGTATATGAAGATATATTTCAAATCTCTTGAAGTAAATCCCAGATTTTCAATAAATGATATCTTATACAACAGCAGAAAACACACTAATTTGTAACACTGGAAAAATAGTATGCCTTGCGTTAGACTTGTCTTTTTTCCACATTTAAGCTAATAGAATAATAATATTTCTGAAATAATCTGGGAAATTATTTACTTGGCATCTCTAATTTTGTCTGCAGGCCTTTCTTTGATGAGCTACTAGATGTTTCTGTGTGTGTGTGTGTGTGTGTGTGTGCGCGCGCGCAGTAATATCTTTCCTGTGATTATTAAAACATCATCATTTAAAATGGGATGAAAATTTTTCAAAAGGAAAGAAATTCATATTTAAGCTCTTTGGCATCGTGTTTACTAGTACTCATTTATCATATGTTACAGTAACTTCCTATAAACCTCAAATTCACACAGAGGAATAATGAAATATATCATTGCAAGTGCCTCTTCACGCAATAAGTATGCAGCACAAAAACCCAAGTTGCAATTCAGATCAAATGTTAGCTGGATATAGTTTGCAATTATTGTACTTTTAAAAAACCATCACTCACTCTTGTGTTCAGCCAAAGCAATGGCCAAAGGAGATGGTTTACAGGGACAGGGATATTGGGAAGTAGAGAGCAAGCTTCCTGCTTATTTTCTGTTCTCTGTAAACAAAAGAATACTTTTGTAAAAAGTGCTCCTGTTATTTACTTTCAGAAAATCTGTTCAAGTTGACAGTTAGGTGCCTATGGAAAACATAGGTTCCCTTCTTATGTTTACTAGGTTTTCGATTCCACCTGCATTTTAGAAATACATTATTTTAGGAAGCAGGTAAGTATGAGGTAGAGACTAGGAATGAGGACACCCATTTCAAGTCTGTCCCTCAGCCCTAGATGGTCATTTGGTGACTCTTGGTCTCTTTCAGCTCAACACACTTAATAGGCTTATTGTGGTAACAGGAAAAGGAGGAGAGAACACTATGCACCCTTGAGCATTTTCGTGAAAAATGGAGTATTGATCAAATCAGCCAATCAATATCATAATGCAAACACTGGTCCTTGCCCTTTATTTATTGGAATGACCCTGGATTCTAAACAGATCCCTTTTCACCCTCTAGAATAGTAATATATCCTGAGAAGTTCATTTACGTTTTGAAAAAATCATGCTTTTGTTCAGGGTACTAGATCTGGGTTACATACCTCCAGGGAGGTGCAAGAAGATGCATGGAACTTAATTCTTTGGTGTTTTCATGTAGAAGATGTCTGAGTTTGCAGCTTGGATTTGACAGCTCTATGGCCCTTCCCATTTTAAATAGGCAGATTTCCATGGTAACCCTTTGGGACTGCAGCAGCCCACATCAGCTCCCAACATTCCAAATGTGTCCCTGGCTGAAAAAAGTTGTTCCATTGTTGTATGATGTACCTATAGGAAATCAGTTTTCACATAGGAAGCACATCATTTGAATTTATTACTTTAAGATCATTTGCTGTTTGCTGTACTATAATGCTTTACAAATATAAATATAAAAAATGTAATATAGATATTTACCATAGCTTCCAATTTGAGCCCAAAAAACTGAGATGTTCCAAGAAGTCAGCAAAGAGATACAGAAAACTATATACTGTCTTTCTGTTATCTAGCAAGCATCTGGATTTTTGTAGTCCCAACTGAGTAGTCCTATACTTAATACATACCACACACACACACATACACACACAAACACAAATGACCAACCATTAGGCTAGAGAATGAAGTCTTATTCATACAGGCGTTTTCCTGGTAAACCACTGTTGTGGCTGGTTCATTATAAATTCTCTTGACTAGGAGGATATGCTCCTTTCCTTGATTCCAAGTTGCATCCTGAGCGACCCACCAACATAGTAAGGAAAGGAGAGAAACTTGAATTTGGGGAAAGGTTGAGATAAATAATAAATGCAGAACATTAGTATACAAAGCAAAAACCAACCCAAAGAAACAAATATACCACAACATCATACCATTTATAATTGATTTAGCATAGTTTGGATTTCTCAAACATTGATAGTGAGTTTTGAAGTTAGACTCAGGCTGCAAAATGGGGAGCTATGAGGCTCTATGTGTGTGGGGGGGGCTGTCCATGGACTGCACATCCCAATTGATCCAACAATCAACTGTATCCAACTGAGGTGATGTCTGAAAAGAAACTATAGAGCTAAAACTAGAATAACTAGAATTTCTGTAAAGAGTTATTGTATGGACTCAAATTTAGTCATGCTCAGAGAAAATCTGTTAAAAAACTGAAATGAGACAAGTTACTTATTGCTAACTGAAATCAATTTAAGATATTGATTTCAGTGTGCTTACTCTAAGCACAGCAATGGTGAGAGTAGGTCTTTCCATTACGATTCTGAGAACTTAAAAGGAGAAATGGAAGTTTCAAATACTGTTAAATAATGTTAAATAATATTTATATTATTTCAGGTTTCCATTAATGAAAGATTTGTAGAGATAAAAAAGAAAAAAGCTTTTTTAAAAAGTAGGAAAGTACTGAATTCTCATGTTGTAATAAATCACAATGTCTTTAATTTTTCTTCAGTTGCCTATTGAATGAAATAGTTAGTTTAAAATGCTCAATTAAGCCCACACAAAATAATTTACATTCTGGCTTAGGTTAATAAGGTAAGAGGTATTCTTCACTTTGCTAAAACTACTTATGTATATAAAAAAAAGGTTTTATTCATGCCTCTGTGCCTGTCTGCTAGTCTTTTGTTCTGCCAAAATATTTTATGGTCCAAAGGACTGATAGTTTTATAATCTGTCTGACTGACTGTTTCCCTGTTTCATTTTGGAACGCAATGATTAAGGTTCCCATCCTGGCTGAAGAGTGCTAATCATTTTATAAATCTCACTACTACCTCTTAATAATTGTTTTCTATTTTTTTTTCTTGGTTTTTCACTCTGTGGTCGCCATCTTAGGAAACAGAATAATAGAATTGGAAGGGAGATTGGAACCCCTATATTTTTCTGGACAAATGGCTGTCCAATCTCTTCTTAAAAACCTCCAATGATGGAGCACCCACAACTCCAGGAGGCAAACTGTCCTACTGATTAATTGTTCTCACTGTCAGAAGATTTCTCCTTAATTCTAGGTTGCATCTCTCCTTAATAATCTTCTAACTGTCACTTTTAGTCCTGCCCTCAGGAAAACACTTTTATCAAGCCATAATAGCTGCCTTCTTTATCAATTTTTACTAAGTCAAGGGCGGACTTTTAGACCATATTAACAGCCAAACATTTCTTACTGTGATTATTCATACATTATTTTTCAATGTCATTTTCTTTAATGTGCATCTTGTAGGAGCCTACTTTCAGCCAAGTGGTAGTGAGAGATACAGTATTAACTGAAGGAAAGTGGAAAGGAAATTGTTTTTAGGGATGAAAAAGATTACATCAATATATTGGGCTATATTCAACTAAAATTCATGACTGGTTTTCGTAAAAGATTGTGTGCAATTCAGCCCTCCTTCTTACAGTATTTCTCTAAGGGCTTAGAGATATTCTTACTTCCAAGTACTTTGTTTTTTCTGTCTTAGTAGCTTCTCTACAGAATTCAATAGTGATGTCCAAATCCTGGGAAGAAGTGGGAAGATGTCACTGTTACAAATTTTGAGCAAAACATACCAAGCTTCTTCATAGGCTAATATGCTTCCTTCCCTTGCTTTGGACTGCAAAATGAAATGGCCACATGGCTTTGCTTCTCCTACTTTGCTTCCTTTCTTTATGCCTTTCTGTGGCCAGAAGCAGATTCCATAGAGGTTAGAAAAGCCATAGAGGTTTCTCTGCAGGTGCAGGATCAAGCCATGTGCAAGCATCCCAGCCACTTCATGGTACCTTCTGTGTTACACAGAGAACACTTACGGAAGGGGTGAAGAAGATGGACAAACTATGTGGATTGCAATTCATCTTCACCTCAAAGAACATATCATAACTGGGGTATGAAGCTTTTTGTCTCGTTGCATTTAAATTGCCTGCCACAGGCCCAGTGCTTGCAGCCATTATAATGGATTTTCCCAACTACACTGCAATCCTTTGTTGAGGCAACAAATGTCATAAGGAGTTGTTTTTCAACTTGGCAATTTTAAGGTATATGAGCTTCAGTTCCCATAATTCCCAAGCGGGAATAACTTATTGCCACTTATTTGGCTTTTTTAAATAGGGGCAGAATGAAGGGAGGGAGAGAGGAAGGGAGAGAGGGAGGGAGGGGGAGAGAGAGAGAGAGAGAGTGTGTATTTGGAGAAAGAAAAAAAATCTATAGAATAAAAACTTAAACCCAAGGTCACGGTGCCACATACAATTACCTGGCACTAAAAGAATCAGCTGACATAAAGATTACAGCAAAGCAAGAGGATTAAGTATTACCATTTCAACTATAAATAATTATTAATTTTGTGTAAATTAATTTATCTAAATAATTGCTCCAGCTATTAAGACAAATTAATGGTTAGGATGGTGGTAACTGAAGATGCTTCGGTTTACTAAAGTTTTCTGCTTTAGTATTAAGTATTCCTCCAAATACTTAACTTGAATTATCTGTTTTTAATGGCAGCATCAAGCTCTTGAAATTCTAGTACAACTTCACTCCAGGGGAGCTATAAGAAGGAAGCATTGATTTATAAGCAATTACATTCTGACACATTAATTCTGAATGCTTTACATTGGGCAGCTTGTACTATTTAATACCATTAACTTAGATTAGGGTTCACTGTTTTACTTTATATGGTCATCTGTCCATAAAACTATTGTATGAACAACTGCCTAGCATAAGCTGCCCAGCGTAAAGCATTCAGAATTAATGTATCAGAATGTAATTTCTTTTAAATCAATTCCTTCCTTCTTATGGCTACCCTGGAGTAAAGTTTTACTAGAATTGCAAAAGCTTGATGCTGCCATTGAAAATAGATAATAAGATCCTGTGATTACTATTTTTTTGAAAACATCATTTTGAGAACACTATATATATGTGTGTGTGTGTGTGTGTGTGTGTGTGTGTGTGTGTGTGTGTGTGTTTTCTGAGGTTTTCGCGGGTGTTTGTATGTAGGTCTTTGGTTGTTCGGGTTTTCTCCCGCGTAAAATTGGAAGTGTCTTGGCGACGTTTCGACGAAGTCCCATTCGTCATCTTCAGGCTGGTGTTTTCAGCTTCGTGCTTCGAGCAGCAATGTGTGGTCTTAGCTGTTTCTTCCTTTTAACTGCCAGTGGGGGTATGAACTGATTGGGTGGGAGCTTGGCTGTGTTCTGATTGGGTAGAGGTGTGTTCTGATTGGTTAGGGGTTTGGCAGTGCTCTGATTGGCTGGGGGGTTGGCTGCGCTCTGATTGGCTGGGGGGTTGGCTGTGCTCTGATTGGCTGGGGGAGTGTTCTATTTGGTTGTGCTCAGGTTAGTCTGAGTTGCAGGGGGGTTTAAGATTTTGGGCTGCCTTGCTATTTTTTGGCTTCGTGGTCGTGCCTCATCTTCATGGAGGGTGTCAGTTTGCTTCATGTATGGATTGGAGGGGTTTAAAGTGGCTAATGCTGCAGCTGTGGTCTGGCTTCTGGTTTGTGGTCGTGCCTCATCATCAGTGTGGCTTTGGGTTTGCTTTTTGCGTGGATGTGTGGTGGTGACATCCTGTGTGGTTTTTGTGAGTGTGGGTCTGGTATCATTTTTTGTGTTAGGGAGTCGTTTGTCAATAAGGGCGGGTTTCCAAATTTCCGAGGAGCACGAAGCTGAAAACACCAGCCTGAAGATGACGAATGAGACTTCGTCAAAATGTTGCCAAGACACTTCCAATTTTACGCGGGAGGAAACCCAAATAACCAAAGACCTACATACAAACACCCGCAAAAACCTCAGAAAGCATATATATATATATATATATATATATATATATATATATATATATATATATATATATATATATATATATATATAATTTTTATTTTTTATTTTTTCAATTTACAAAACGATAAACATTTTTCTTTTTTTCTTTTTTTAACAGTACTGTGTCATGTATCTCTTACAGTTATTTACATTTATTGCTATACATTTTTATTTCTCTGTTCTAACCAATTATACCACTTGTCCCATACCTCATAAAACTCTGTTTCTTCCCTGCCTTTCATTTGTAGTGTAAGCTTATACATCTCGGCACATTCTAATATCTATGGATAATCATATCATTAGCTGGTATATTTTCAAGTTTCCAGCATTGCACATAGACAATATATGTTGCTGTTACTGTGTATACAATAATATATTGGAGTTGCTTCTTTATCTTTTGATTAATTATTCCTAATAAAAATAATTCAGCTTTAAATTCAATTTGTTCTCCTGTTATCTCCTGTAGCCATCTCCTTATCTGTTCCCAGTATTTCCTTGCTTTAGGACATTGGCACCACATGTGATAAAATGTTCCATCCTTATATTTACACTTCCAACAGTCTGGTTTCATATTTGTATACATCTTGGCCAATCTCACCGGTGTTAGATGCCACCTATAAAGCATTTTGTACTGATTTTCTTTATATGCCGTTGATAATGTTAATTTGCAGTTTTTGTTCCATACTTTTTCTCATTCCTCTAAATTTATATTTCGGCCTACATTCCATGCCCATGCTATCATCGGACCTTTCACTATTTCTTCTTCCATTTCTACCTCTAATAAATATTTATACGCTTTTGTTAAAAAAAATTCTTCCTTGCCTATCAATATTCTATTCAATTATTGTGGTACCCCTTGAATTCCATATTCTTCCATATCTTTCTGTATCTCGACTGTGTCTGTAAATATGGCCACCAGTCTATAATTATTCCCTGTTCTTTTAGTTCTTCCTTTGATTTAAGGTTCCCCTGTCAATCTAATAATTCTTTGTATCTTATCATCTTTCTTTTTATCCAATGTATTCGGGTAAATCGTTATTTGGGTAAATTGTTCCAGCAACCATTCCTTATATGCTTTAGCCTCCAGTCCCCTAATCATCTTTGTTGCTCTTCTCTGAACTCTTTCTAGAGTCTTAACATCTTTTTTACATCGCGGTGACCAAAACTGGATGCAGTATTCCAACTGTGGCCTTACCAAGGCATTGTAAAATGGTATTAACACTTCACATCTTGATTCTATCCCTTTGTTAATGCAGCCTAGCAATGTGTTGGCCTTTTTGGCAGCTGCAGCACACTGCTGGCTCATATTTAAGTGATTGTCCACTAAGACTCCGAGGTCCCTCTTACAGTTACTACTATTGAGCAAGGTATCCCCTATACTATACCTGTACATTTTGTTTTTCTTGCCTAAATGTAGAACCTTGCTTTTTTCACCACTGAATTTCATTTTGTTAGATAGTGCCCAGTGTTCAAGTCTGTCCAGATCCTTCTGTATCTTAAGCCTATCTTCTGGAATGTTGGCTATTCCTGCCAGCTTGGTGTCATCTGCAAATTTGATGATCTATCCCCTCATCCAAATCATTGATGAAGATGTTGAAGAGCACTGAGCCCAGAACAGAGCCCTGGGGCACCCCACTACACACTTCCCTCCATGTAGATGCGGTTCCATTGAGGACCACTCGCTGAGTACGGCTGGTCAGCTGTCTACCTCACATTTTTCTATTTTGTCAAGTAGTAGGTTGTGATCTACTTTATCAAATGCCTTACTGAAGTCCAAGTAAATTATGTCCACAGCATTCCTCTGATCCACTAATTTTGTCACTTGGTCAAAGAATGCAATAAGATTTGTCTGGCATGATCTGTTTTTGACAAACCTGTGTTGGCTTTTAGTAATGACTTTGTTTGCCTGTAGTGTTTGCTGATTCGTTGTTTGATTATCTTTTCCAGGATCTTCCCAGGTATTGAGGCAGGCTGCTAGGTCTGTAATTTCCTGGATCCGTTTTTTTTTTTTTCCTTTTTTGAAGATACGAACTACATCAGCTCTTTTCCAGTCCTCCGGTAGCTCCCCACATATGTATGTATGTATGTATGTATGTAGGTAGGTAGGTAGGTAGGTAGGTAGGTAGGTAAAATATGTCAATACAAATTTTAAATGTATTTCTGTTGAAATTTTATTGAAGTGGGACTTGTATTTCTTTCAATGTGTTTCTGATTTACATTAGCATCTACACAGTGCACTACACAATTCAATCAGAAATCAAGTTGAAAAAATAAATTCTGAATTGGGTGGCAATTCAAAGTCATTCTTCTTCAGAGACTTCATTGGTATTTCTTGTTACTTTCATAATTTACTTATCTTTTCAGCAATTCATTGTGCTATTGCACAGAGTGTTTGCTCTTCTTTCAAATGGATTTTCCTTTTTATATAAACAGAGCAATTCCTAATCCAGCCAGAGTGCAGAAATCTGAGCAAGCCTCCAAATGCAAGGATATATGGAGTAACAATTGGTCATCGTCAATCAAGAAGAAAAGGTAAAGTGTCTGCATTCGGTTATAAATGTACTTGACTGACAAGCAGCCATGGCAATTTTACAATCCTGAAAAGCTAAGTGTATAGCATAGCAATTTTAGGTGTGAAGAATCCATTGGCATCTCCTTATAGGAACTTGGCCAAAATCTTTTAGTAGTTGAATTGGCCAACATCTGATTTAACCTAAATATGATTACCCTGATAAATTATTATAGCATCATACTTTACTGTCATGGCATTTGCTGTCTAGAATGGCATCACTTGACAGGTTCACATTGCCCCGACTCTATTGCCCAGCAAATTAGTTTTAATTATCTGCAGTGGTGGGATTCAAATACCTGAACAACCAGTTCTCTTATTGAATGCAGACCTGGGCCTCCAAGGCCTAGAACAGATTTCCATAAGTGGCATTCATGCACTTCCGTCGGGCCATTCTAGACCTGGGCAGCCTCTGAGGCCTAGAACGGACTTCCGTAAGTGGCATCCATGCACTTCTGGTAGGCCATTCTAGGCCTGGGAGGCCTCCTCCTGGCCTCCCAGGCCTAGACTGGACTTCCAGAAGCAGTGTGCATTCAGCCAGTTCTCCGAACTCAGCAAAATTTAGCTACCGGTTCTGCCGAATCGATGCAAACCAGCTGAATCCCACCACTGATTATCTGGTTCTTTCCCCAGATCCTGGGGTAAGAAATTGTTTTTCGTGCATTTTTGTTATCAGACCAGGGACTTTTTTTGTTTGCTTTTATCATTTTTATCTAGTCTTACTTATAATTGGGTATATTAGCTGTTTTGTTGTATCTGCCCTGAGTTGGTTGACTTGGATAGTTCTATAAACTTGATACCATAAAAGTATATAAAATCACCTGAATTCTGATCTGAAACATGTATTTTCCTATTCAGAGGTATGTCCACTGGTAAGTTATATATGTAAATACAAAGATAAAGGTTACAATAGAGATAATATGCTTTATGCTTTGTACAAAATACTATTTATTGGCCAAGCAAGGATAGAGTCCAGACTAGTATGGAAATTGCCCTAATGATATTCCATGGAAAGCATGAGAGCCTATATTATTGCTTATGTTGGACTATCAAATCATATGCCTTAAATTGCCCACAATTCCACCAACTGAAATCATTCTGATGCATTGTGGGCATTAACATGATGGTCTGATATCTTGGTGAGGAAAGCCTATCTGTATCACTTGACAAGATGATAATTGTACTAGAGGATATGACATCCAGGACACTCATGAACTAAAAACTGGATTTAGGATTAACCAATCCAAGAGCTTGAATCTACCAGCCAGTTGAAAAGGTTTGGTTGCTACAGATTATCTCTTCATGTTCCTGAGGCTATGATGTTTTGAGACAGCCTTGCTTCATTTGATGCCCTCCAAATACATTGTTTTTCTGCATCCAGAAGACCAAGATTTTGACATGCTGCTTGAAGTTCTGGGAGTTGAAGTTCAATATATTCCCAAATTACAGATGGTTACTCTGAAGTCTGAACCTACAGCTGGTAGTTTACCAGCTAAGTCTGTGCCTTAACAGTCTATATATTGCTAATATGTAAGAATTTTACTTACAGTTGAAGAAAAAGGATAATTGAACTTCATCTATTTAGCTTTAGAAGTTCTGTTTATGCTGTAATTTCATATATAATACTCACTTATGTTAATTCAGTGATGCATGATATCAAACAAGCCATCAGCTAATAGACAATTTTTTGCTCTGGTTGAGTTTTTCCCCTTACATGTTGATTTTTATATTACTTGTTTAAACAAGCTCAAATTTCCATAGCTAATTTCAGTATTTTTTATATTTTATAAAATATTTTATATTACATCTATCTGTCTGTCTGTCTGTCTATCTATCTATCTATCTATCTATCTATCTATCTAATTCTTATCCCTTTTTTTTATAAACACAATGAGGTTTATCTGAGGTTTATGTCAATGAGGTTTATCTGAGGCACGATTATTATATCAATACCCCTTCCCCCTCCTATTTCCCCCACAGCAACTCCTTCCCCTTATGAAGTGAAAGAAGGATGACTGGCCCAGTGTCACTCAGTTGGCTTTCATACCAAAGGTGGGACTCAGTCTCCTATTTTCTAGGTCAGCATCTTAACTACTACACCAAACTAATGTTTATGAGATGTTTTTTATTGGTGTTGTTATTGATTTTGTTAGATGACAAAAAATTAACAGAAACATACTTCCATTCAAGTTTTTTCAGTATTTTATTAACAAATACTGTTTCAATAACAATATTGCTTTGGTGAAGAACCTCTATGTTAAGACATTCATACATAATATTCCAATGAATTCTTCATGACAAATAATCACCCAAAACAGTTGATTATTGCAGCTTTATAGTGGTGAAGACTGGACCTCCAGGTCAGAAGAAGTCAGAATAACAGCATGGACAGGCTTTGAGGCACACAAGTCAGATTGAGTCAACAGCAGCCTGTCAAGCTGTTGATTGCCATAACCCTTGGCAGCCATTACAGAAGCTCTTAAATAGCTGTAGAATGGAATGCTTTGGGAGCCTATTTACATAGAAAAACAGGCTATCTTATTCAAAGATTAAGAGCTTGCATTAGTTTACATCTTTTTGTTTTATGCACCATAGCATGCTGATAATTCTAATGCAGCATCATAAAACTCTGACCTATATCACGATTTCTTACAGTTATAGATCTTTTATGATTTAACAATAAAAATTTCAAAGCAACACATTAATTAACAGTATCTACTTCACTGAACATCAGAATCTGATATCTTCTTTCTCATGTGCTGCAACTCAAGCAGTGATGATCAACTAAAAATTTCCTTCAGATGACATTATTAGCTTGAAGGCAAGATATTCAGGTCAGAAAACTGCAGTTCAATATAATTTTGAGATCTCGCATCAAAAAGAACATAGAGAAAATGTGACAGAAAGTGTCAAAGAACTTAAATAGGACAAAATAGTTTTATTAGTTCTAAATTCCTAATTGGCAACTTCACAACGAAAGATTTGTTGCTAATTCTTCAGGAACTATAGTTTCCTTTGCAATTAGGATTGCTTTAAAGCCATGTTTACCATGCTTTGTGAAGTATAGGATTTAGATCTGTCACTGATACCAGTTGATTTAGTATTTTGCTGGAGATTGTTTACATGACATTTAGCCAGACTGGTATTTACATGATCTTTAAGCAAATTGGAGCTTTCCGGAAGTTTTGGGATTTAGCTACTTAGGTCCTTGTAACTGACTATTCTCAGATGGGAGTGGCATACCAAGCTTCAAGGGGGAATAAACCCAATATGGATAACAAAAACATTCAAAGACTTTAACAATTTACATAAAGAACAAGAAATCTCTTTAGGTACTATGGAAGAGTATATAACAATCTTTCTAAACTATCAGAAAACCGATAAGAAAAGCAAATTTTGAATAGTCCAATAACAACTTTTGAAATAATAGAAGCAATTAAAAGAACTAAAACATCTAAGTCCGGGACCAGTTGGCCTACCGAGTGGTTTTTATTAAATTTTCAAAGATCAACTACTTCCTCCGATGAAGGACTTAATGAATTTTATCTTACAAGGCAATCCTATACCAGATTCTTGGAAGGATGCCTACATTTATGTAATACCCAAAATGGACTGGATTTAACTTCTGTGAAAAATTACAGGCCAATTTCTCTCAATAATAATTACAACTTTTTACATCTATTTTAGCTGAAAGACTTAAAAAAAAGTTTTACAGGATTATATACATGAAGATCAGTGTGGTTTCTTACCTAAAAGACAACTAAAAGATAATGTAAAAGTAATTTTGAATATAATTGAATATTTATAACAATGTAACGACAAACAGGTTGCATTAGTTTTTTTGGATGCAGAAAAAGCTTTTGACAACTTGAACGAGGCCTTTATGTTTAAAGTAGTGGAAAAGATTATTCCAGAAATCTTTCTTGATTACCTATAACCTCATCAGAAGTGGTAGAATTCTATTTTATCACTTAATTATCCATTTTAGCACTTCAAAATTAAATCACATATTCCATGTGCTTTTATAATATCTATAGACCATAAAATGCAATTCTATTCCATCTCTGGGTAAGCATAAAGAATTTTCTGGATGTATCTATAAGTATATACTTTATGGATGATACTAATTCTTATCCTTGCTTTATGTAGATTACGCCCTTCTAAGTCAGCAGTTTTAGGATGCCTGCATGTGAAAAGATTCTAATAAAATAAAGAGCTCTGGGAAATTATCTGGTTCATTGATCAGCAGCCAATGTGAGGAATTAAAGTTGAGGAGGAAATAGGGATTTATGTTAATCTAATTAACTATTGATAATTTGAACTTTGTTTTCCCAATCCAGCCCCCACATGTGGTACTATGCAGATGTGTTGGTCTTCAACCACTATGATTTCTAATCAGCATGTACATACTATGAATTATCAGAATTGAAATCCAACACATCTGGAAGACATCAGGTTTATGGTTGCTTTAATTGATAGGATCTCCTTTTGGACAAAATTAAGGAATAATCACATCTCTTCTCTATTATTTTATAGAAATTACTGAATAAGTACTTTATGGTTATATATTTCATTGAGGTACATGGAAGAGAAAGGAAACATGCCTTAATGTGAGACTGTCTCCTATATTTGGCTCAAATTCAGTTAGAAGCTGCCCAGGCATTCATCTCAGTATGGCAGTATCTTTATATACCTCATTTTTTAATCAATATGTAAATGCAGTACCTTCCTCTACCCCCAAAGGTAGAAATCTACCCATTCTTTTCCCTACTTTTTCCTCTGTCTTAATGGATCCTTTACCTGCTTTTCTCACACTATGGACTAAGTCAGGGGTATGCAACCTTGGCTCTTTTATGACTCGTGGACTTCAATTCCCCCTGGACTAGGTGGTAGTTGGCTTTTGGTTAATTAGACTTCTTGCCTTGGAAATAAATTCACTACACTTAGATATATTATATAGTTT